TGGAAGCTCAGGAAACTCTGACATGACTGTACTACTAGCAGCGCACACAGTAAATGATGAAAGTGAGGCATCTCACCTGTTAGCTAGGTGTCTCATCACACAGTGGAAGCAAAAGACTCTTACATCACTTCTGCTTGCAATGTGAAACATGTCATTTTCACACCTGCAAATCATGTAGTGTTTCCATTTATTTTATTTTTTTTGTTAAACCCTTGTATATGTATTTACAGTGCTCAGCATAATGAGTACACCCCTTTTGAAAAAGTGAGATTTAATCAATATCTCAGTGAACACAAGAACAATTTTTCAAACTTTTGACAAACCGTTTTATGGAACATTTGTTTAGCTCATTACATGAAAGTAAGGTTAATAATATAACTTAGATTTCAAAAAATCTTCAGTTTTACTGAAATTAGTTGATGCAAAAATGAATACACCCCACAACAAAAACTACTAGATCTAGTATTTTGTATGACCTCCATGATTTGTAAGGGCAGCACCAAGTCTTCTAAGCATGGAATGAACAAGTTGGTGACATATTGCAATATTTGTCTTTTTTTTTTCTATTTTGCAAGAACAACTTTTAGAGCCTGGATGCTGGATGGAAAGTGATGCTTAACTTGTCTCTTCAGAATTCCCCATAGGTGTTCAATTGGGTTCAGATCAGGAACCATACTTGGCTCCTGAATCACTTTTCACCCTGTTCTTTAGAAATGCAACAGTGGCCTTTGTTTGGTTTTGGACCATTGCCTGATGACCAAGGGCACGGAGTGATGGCAGCATCTGCTCTTTCAATATAGAGCAGTATATCTGTGAATTCATGATACCATAAATGAAATGCAGCTCCCCGACACCAGCAGCACTTGTGCAGCCCTACAGAAGGACACTGCCACCACCATGTTTCACTGTAGGCACAATGCATTTTTCTTTGTGCTCCTCACCTTTGTGACGCCATACAGTTTTGAAGCCATCAGTTTCAACAACATTTATCTTGGCCTCATCACTCCAGAGTCCAAGTAGTTTTTTTTTTTCCCAGCATGGGCCCTGGTAAATTCTAGGTGGGCTTTTTTGTGCATGGGCTTTAGGAGAGGCTTCCTTTGTGGGCAACACCCATGTATGCCATTCCTCTGTAGTGTATGCCATATTGTGTCAGAGGAAACCATGATCCCAGTTTGTCTTTCTACTTCTTTAGCTAACTTGGCATTGGCGATTTTCTTCAACCCTTCTCATCAGAAGACACTCCTGTCGAGGTGTTAACTTCTGTGGATGGCCTGGATGTCTCTGTGAGATGGTTGCAGTTCCATCTTTGTTAAATTTTTGTATCACTTTTGCTACAGTATTCTGACTGATAAGTAAAGCTTTGCTGATCTTGTTGTAGCCTTCACCTTTCTTGTGTAAAGAAATTATTTTCTTTCTTAGGCCTTGTGACATTTCTCTTCCATGTGGTGCCATTGCTGACAGTATGAAATGGGAAGGGGGTTTCTTTAACGCCCTTTTAAAATCAACTGTCTGCTGGACACCTGTTTAACAAGGGTTAAACTACAGGTGAGTCTAATTATTAATTAGGATTTTGTTGTCTAAAATTCAGCTTTGCTCCTAAGACTTTCACTGGGGTGTATTCATTTTTGCAACATGGTCTTGAGTGAATTTGTTAGGAAAAATACTTTGTGTGTGCAAATTAACAAATCTTGTTTGCATTCAATGACCTGTATTTGTGGGAGTATTTTAAAGTATAGTGTCCAATAGAAAATGTTGATTCTGAAAGGAAAGTAAAGGTTTTCTGGCAAATCTGTTGGGGTACTCATTTATGCTGAGCACTGTGATATAACTATCTATACACACACACAAAACTGCATTCAGAAAATATTTAGACCCCCTTCACTTTTGCAGCCTGTTACTACAGTTGTTTAAATTCATTTTCTCCTCTCACCTTCCAGGACAGCACACCTGAGACTCCTCCCTACAGGAAACAATCAATTGACAGCTGATAACACTCCCCACAAAGCGGAACGTTTGTTGTTTTCACTGACCAGGATGGTACCCCTGTGAGGCAGGGGTTGAACTATCCTGCAGGCCAAGTGTCTCTCACAGGTCATCCTTGATGTACAGTAGCAATCCAGACATGGGAGTGTGTTCTGCTGCTGCAGCAGACTGTACAAGTCTCTCTCTCCGTGATCTCGGTTACCATACAAGGGTAGTCTCCCCTGGATTTCATGGCCATGTCCTTCCCTTCCTGTTTGGGAAAGTTTGGGTTCCTGGAGAGGCATACGGGTGTGTGCTGTGGGTATAGTGTGGGACACACTGCCTAACTTGGCAGCCTGCCAGGAAGGACAGCAACATGGAGGGGTGAAATTGGCCACTATCCTCTTCTGACCCCACCTATGGATGAGCAAGCCCTGTGGTTGTGACAGAAGACAGGCACTGGGAGGGGTCGACTGAACTAACCTGCTGACCAGGCGTCTCTCACAGGATTGCCCTGGATGTACAGCAGTTATCCGGACACGGGAGTGTGTTCCACTGCTGCAGCAGACTGTACAGGTCTCTCTCACTCTCTCGTTGTGTGTCCCTGGCGACCGTGCAAGGGAGGAAGAAGCTATCTGCTAGCTACCCTTGGATTTCATGGCCATGTCCCTCCCTTCTTTTGGGAAAGTTTGGGTTCCTGGAGAAGTATGTGTGTGCTGCAGGACAGCCTTTCGGGAAGGACAACAAATTGGAGGGATGAAACTGTCTGCTATCCTCCTCTTGTGACCCCATGGATGGATAAGCGAGTCCTATGGCCGTGGCAAAAGGCAGAAGACAACAGGAGTACTTCCCTTTCCCTTGGGAGCTTAACAGCAGAATCCCTAATAACAGCCAGGTGCTCTCCAGGCATTGATAGAAACCCCCTTTTCCTCCATGGAGGGTGCTACTATCCTTTTTTCTCCCTAATGGTGTAGCAACAAATAGCTCAGAAGCTTCTGCTAAACCAGCTACCTCTTGCTTTGGTAGATGCTGTGGTTATTGCAACAAAGTTGCCTACCTCATGTAAACCCTACTATGGTAAAATTAGAAAACAGTCTGGGTACTTCCCTTTGACTTTGGAGTTTAACAGCAGAATCACTAATTGCAGCCAGGTGGTTTCTGAACATTGAGATATGACCCTCTTTCCTGTAGGTGCTACTATTCTTTTCCCTAACTGTGTGGAGATAGCCCAGAAACATCAGCTAAACCACCTTCCTCTTACTTCAGTAGATGCTGTGGTCATTGCAACAAAGTGTCCATCTTCTCTAAGCCCTACTGTGGTAAATTAAGTGGTGGATTTAGTGAAGTGCTGAGGTTGGTTAGACTCTCCCCTGGGAGAGTGTTACAGGTTATTTTGCCCAATGAATGAAATGACACCCAAATCGATAGGTTTGGTGGAGGGCAGGAGCCTTGATATTCCAGCAGCTTTTCCCCTGCTCAACAGTGCTACACCAGGCAATCTGAATCTACTATGCCAGCCCCTATGGATCTGGCAAGATTCCTCCAACATCTTCCTTCCATATGGAGGGGAGGCACAGTATTGAGCATGTCCTCGTTTTGGGGTTGTAGGCCTGCAGATACTTGATTATCCTCTCAAGCTGGTGAATGGTTGCTAGAACTGCCTGGCAACCAATCACCTGCTGGCTTAACCGAGCAGCTTCAGCTCCCACCCTCCATCCAGTTCTGTGCTGCCTCCTGTTCTGCTGTGTAGATAAGAGTGACTAAGCAGTCAGGACCAGAAAAGCAGGGACATGTTCACGACCTACCCATTGGCTGCCTATGATCAATGGGTATTGCCAACCCCCAGTCTACCTGAATCACCTAGAGATAATGGAAGCAGAAGAAATCGAAGCATCGGTACAGGGTCCATCCTGGAGAACAAAGGAAATGGCTTTTCTGAAAGAAGCAGAGGCTTAGAGATAATCCCTCACAGCCACAAACCACATTCAGACAAAAAAAAACAAAAAAAAAACTTTTTTGGGAAAACTGGAGGCAGACTCGGATGGGATAATGATGTTCTGCGTGGGGTGAAAGGTAGAAGCTACTCTTGACAAGAAGAGCAAATAGCCCTCAATTTACAAAACAAGGAAAGGTTCCTTACCAGATAAGGGCACCAGTTCATATACTCTTCACCAAAAGCACAAAAAAAAAAAAAACCGACAAGAGAGCTCAGGCTCACAAGGGGGAGATAAATGGGTAACCTGAGAGCTGAATTCCAGACCCAGTAGCAGGAAACATTTTTTTTTGGTGGAGAACATCCTCGGGAAGAAGCCTTGAGGCTTACCCCAAGCTAAGCATTTCCAATGAAGCAGACCTTACAGCTTTAGAATCAAAGAATTCCTAAACTCAGCAATGCCCTTGTCCTTCAAAAGCTGAGTTTCAAAGACCATTTAACTAAATCGTGTAACTGAAAAGATGCGATGTGGACTCAGCAACAGCTATTAATGGTTTGTCATCCTGACGCTGGTGTTTTCTGTGCAACACTGCTCAAATATCCTGTTGAGCATGGTGATTTAACATTTGCTGAGAGTACAATTAAACAACTAATATTAGTTACCTTTTACACAACATCCCACCAAAACAAAATATTTCAGGTCATCACTGTATAAAAAAGTTTATTGACAAGAAATGCAAGAACAGGCAAGTTACCTAGTGGTGAGAAGTCTCTCACAGGATTCATGATGATCTATGCCCTCACAAACCTAGCAAGCCTTAGAATTGTTTGGCAACACGATTTCATTCGACTACTTCATAGACATGCTTTAACTGGAAATTGCCTGAGCTTCAATAGAAGCAACATTTCATATAGTTCAGTGCACTGTCCTTACAGCAGCCATAGCACCAAAGATTGATGAAGAAGATTGTTATGGTGTGACAGACGAAAGATTCAATGGAGATACTCTTCTTGTAGGTGTGTTGCTTGCTGAAAGGGATTGTGGGAATAAAAAGTTTGTATTCGTTGGAGGATCAGCAGAAGGGCTTTCATTCTGATTACGGAGCTGCAAAATTTGGCGCAAAAGAGCTTTACCTTCCTCTCTTGTCTACAAGAAGAAAAAAAAAAAAAAAAAAGTTATTTATGAAGCAAAAAGTAGAACCTTGCCTATGAGCATAGGGAACTTTTAAAGGATTCCTGTACTGAAAACCTCTAGTCTACAGTCACTAATGCAAGTCTTATAGTTTTGAGGACTGATTTCCATTTCCAGTAAGTCCCCTCTAAAACATCCAAGAAAATCACTGTAACATATATGAATAGAAGACATAGGTTTGTGCCCACACATTTAGTCAAAGCCTATGACTAGCGTACCTCATATCAGGATCATTTATGAAACCGATCATCTCATTAAACATTACCAGTCAGTCTTCACCAAACAACATCCTAACAGACAGCATGAAGGATGATGGGGCTATGTACGTTACAGGTAAATAGTAGAACTACTGCAATGACTACGGTCATGATCTCTGATCTGGCTCTTACTGATATTCTTAAGTAGATAAACCAGGACCTGCAATGTAGTCTACCTGGTAGGATATAAAGGATTTTTGTACTCACATCATTAAAATTAAAGCATTTCTGGGCACAGGCAGAGGCCTCATCCCACAGTTTACATTTGAAGTAATACTGAGCCAAATAGCGGAATGCAGTGCTCACTTCCTGGTGCTCCACCATTTCCTAGAAAGGAAAACACAATCAATCATCTAAATTAGGAATCAAAAAAGCAAGATTTGTGTTCATCAGTGCTTACCCCACAATTATTGATATCCTGGATATATTTGATGTAACACTGGGCAGCCTGCTCAGTTTCATTCAGCTGTTCATGAAGTCTTAATAAGAAAAACAACAATTGCAGAATTGTCAAATGCTGAGAGATGTAAAGCATTAAAGTAAAATACTGATTATTAATGAATTCAAAAGGCCATGTGTCACAGCAAAGACTGCAATAGTTCCTTTAGGAATTTACAAAATAAAAAGAAACAGCACCATTTGATCGGTGGCCTGACAAATAAGCGAGGTCCACACTATTGCAGGTTTCCTGCAGCCTCCTTTGCGTGAACACAGTAGCCAAATTAGTTTAAATGGGCTGCTGAACCTATGGAAAAAACGCAGAGGAAAAAAAAAAAAAAGTTCCTGCACCTTTTCCAAAATCACAGCCACAGGAAAACGTATAGTGCTATGCCGTTCCCAGCATGGGAAAGCCATTAAAAATTAATGACACCCCCACGCATCTGCGGGTGCAAGAAAGTGTGCGATTTACTTGTAGCCCTGCACTCGCAGAAGTGTGAACCTAGCCGTAAATCTTCAAATATAAAATTATTAGGGGTGAATGGTATCAATTTAAAGATCTTCTGAGTAAGTTCAGTTTCATTAAACGTTTATGAATGCTAGTTTTTTGTGAAAGCAATATTCAGGTCTACATACAGCATGGCAACACTTAAAATGATTCAGAACAAAGTAGATACAAAATTCAGTTATTAAAAGAGGATTTCATTTATAAAGGGAAAAAAAGCTGTCCAAACCTGCCTGGCCCCATGTGAAAAAGTAATTGCCCCCTACCATTGCTAAATCATGAATGAGATGTGATTACCCACATTTTATGGAAAGCAGAGTTAAATTTCACTTTCCACACCCAGGCCTAATTACTGCCAGACCTGTTGAATCAAGAGATCACTTACCACACTAGTGCCATTTTGCGGGCCGCAGCACGGCAGCCCATTCATTTGAATGGGCTGCCATGCCTTGCAAAATGCAGGAAAAAGGTCCTTTCACCAAGTCATAGTTCCCCCCAGTGTCAGAATGCCCACTGCAGTCCCGCTATAATACGCTGATCGCCGCCATTACTAGTAAAATGTAAAAAATAATCCCAGTAAATATTCCGCCATTTTTAAACCAATTAATTTATATGTATTGGGATTTTTTTTTAGCAAAGACATGTAGCAGAATACATTTTGGACTAAATTTATGATAAAACTTGATTTTTAAACATTTTTTTTACTGGACGTTTAATAGCAAAAGGTCCAAAATATTGTTTTTTTTTCCCTCAAAATTATTATTTTTTTTTTTAATAACGAAAAAAATAAATAAACGTACAGGCGATCAAATACCACCGAAAGAAAGCTCAATTCGTGGGAAAAAAAAAGGACATAAATTTCATTTGGGTTCAGCATTGCATGGCAGTGTAATAGTCAGTTAAAGTAACAGTGCCGTAATGCAAAAAATGGCCTGGTCAGGAAGGGGGTAAATCCTCAGGAGGGCAAGTGGTTAACTGCACACGCCTGCAGCTCCTGCATTTTGTGTGCGGAAGGTTGCAGCTGCGGGGTGAAGTGCGGGTCCCACAGTGGCTTCCACCCGCACTAGTGTGAACCAAGACTTAAATAGAAGCTGTCTGACAAAGTGAAGCACACTAAAAGATCTTAAAAAGCAACACATAATGCCGCGATCTAAATAAATTCAAGAACCGATGAGAAAGAAAAGTAATTAACATGTGTCAGTCAGGAAAAGGGTTACAAAGCTATTTCTAAGGCTTTGCGACTCTAGTGAGCCATGTTGAGAGCCATTATCCTCAAATGGAGAAAACTTGGAACAGTGGTAAACCTTCCCAGGAAAGGCCGGCCTACCAAAATTACTCCAAGAGCACAACAATGACTCAAGGGGGTCATAAAAGAACCTAGAACAACATCTAAAAGAACTGAAGGCCTCACTTGTCATAGTGAAGGTCAGTGTTCATGATTAAACAATAAGAAAGACTGGGCAAAAAATGCATCCATGAGAGAGTTCCAAGGCGAAAGCCACAGCTGGCCAAAAATAACACAAAGGCTTGTCTCACATTTGCCAAAAAACATCTCGATTATCCCCAAGACTTTGGAGCAAATATTCTGTGGAATGATCAAACAAAAGTTGAACTTTTTGGAAGGTGTGGGTCCTGTGACATCTGGCGTAAAACTAACATAGCAATTCATAAAAAGAACATCATACCAACAGTCAAATATGGTGGCTTTGGAGCTTCACGACCTGGAAAACTTGAATTATATGCATTACCAGAAAAATTTAAAGAAGAATATCCGGCGATCAGTTTGTGACCTCAAGCTCAAGCGCACTTGGGTTATGTAGCAGGACAATGATCCAAAACATTAATCAAAACAATTCCGCAAACAAGAGTGGGCCAAAATTCCTCCACAGAGATGTGACCAGTTTAGAGGCAAATACTTTTTCCCCCTAGGGCCATGCAGGTTTGGACAACTTTTTTCCCCTTAATAAATGAAATCATCTTTTAAAAACTGCATTTTGTATTTACTCAGGTTATCTTCGTTTAATATTAAAATTTGTTTGATGAACTGAATCATTTAAGTGGGACAAATATCCATTTAAAAAAATAAATAAATAAATAATTCACCCTTAGTGTCCATCCTCTTACAATTTTTTTACTGGGTGTTGTTATCATTTTTCAAATTAGGAAAACCACAAAAATGCCATATACTCACTTTGCCAGTTTTATCAAGGCCATTTTCTCCACATCTCCAACAGCATAAGCTCTCCAATAACACTGCCAAGAGAGGACAGGATTATTTTAGGGCCTAAACATCTGAAAGCTAGAAAAACTTGAAGCAGCCTTGTATCCTTGAAAATTAGCATAAGGCTGTGTAGGAGGAGGTTGAGAGAGCTAGATTCTGTTCTTTCATTAATGAAGGTGGGATATGAAAAGATCATGCGTGACAGCTGTCATCATGGCATCACTAGAAGGTGGGGTGGTGTGACAGACTTACCAATATATCACAGAATACTCTTTACAGGTGATGCCAAACATTTAGGCAACTTAGTTTTTTGAAAATTTAATATACATAAGATAGGCAAGGTTCATAACTCTGTTTAGATAGTTTTATGATCACGAATCTCTGCCACGCTTTAAAACCAAAATAAGTGACATTTTTATGTGTAGTTCAGGATTTGCTGTATTCAGGTCACCTCTCCATATACAGCTTGCTCATTGGTCAATGCAGGCCTGGACAAAGCACACCCAGAACCAGCAGCCAGCTTTAAAAACCTAGGAGCCAGCACCCTAAATGCCATAGTGTGTTGACGTATGTGTATTTTGTAAATCGTAGTCTATCATTTTCATGTACTTCTTCCATCTGAAGTACCTGGTTGAGCCAGTCAGTCACCATTCTTCCTTGTTCTAAACTGACCACAAAGCACAGAATCTGATCTTTGTTAGCCTGGTGTTTTCATCCTTTGGACGGCCATTCAGAGGTACAGGACGCTGTGCAGACACACAGCATGTCTTTATTGGGTAGCTTGTTCACTCACTACACACCCTCTCCCAGTCACAGCCTGCATCTTGTCTCAGACTGAACAGACTACAGAAAACAGTGTCCTGTAGCTCTGCCCCCCTCCACCATTATCAGGAAGGAAAAAGTGAAAAAAAAAAGGTAACAAAGATGCAAAAGCAGTTATGGCACCTGCATAGTTATAACTGTATTAGAAAATGTCTAGAATACTGTATGTTCACAACTACTTGAAGCAACAGTAAAGAGGAAAATATTTGGTCTGTTAATTTTAAAATGTATCTCAACAATAAAAGTTACATTGTTCGTTAGTCTAGCTGACAAAAAGACAAGTGTCCATCCAGTTCAACCATACAAATAATCCTATACCCACAGTTGATCCAGAGGAAGGCAAAAACCCAGCAAAGCATGATCCAATTTGCTCCTGCAGGGAAAAAAATTCCTTCCTGATCCCCCGAGAGGCAATCGGATATTCCCTGGATCAACTTTACCTATAAATCGGGTGTCGGCAACCCGCGGCTCCGGAGCCGCATGCGGCTCTTTTTCACCTTTCCTGCGGCTCCGGAGCACACTGCCCACCAGGTGACAGGCAATAGGGTCGGCAAGCCGCGGCTCTTTTAATGCAGATCTTCTGTGTGCCGGGCGCCCGCTGGCAAACATTGGCTGTCAGGATGTAGGCGGGGCGGCCCGGATGTAGGCGGGGCAGCGTGACGAACTCCTCTCCTCTCACAGTCCGCCCTGAAGACCAGAACGGCGCGGGAACCCAGCGAGAGGAACGCGCGGAGCAAAGGTAAGTGAATTCACACAATATGGGGAATGAATTACTATGGGGGATGAATTACTATAGGGGATGAATTACTATAGGGGGGATGAATTACTATAGGGGGGATGAATTACTATAGGGGGGATGAATTACTATATGGGGGATGAATTACTATATGGGGGATGAATTACTATATGGGGGATGTATTTTCAGTTTTAAAATGTTTCTCTCAAAATAAATTTCAAATCGTGGTTTTGGCGAGATTTGGCTCAGTCGAAAAAAAAGGTTGCCCACCACTGACCTAAGGCTATGATTGTGATTATGACGATACACTGTGGCCCTGATTAACCCTTTGCTTACTGGGCCCTTAAACCCCCTTCATGACCAGAGCGTTTTTTGCAATATATGCAGTGTCGGATTTGTTTTAAATGTTGCAATGGTTTTGCGGCTCCCAGTCTTTTTTTCCCTCTCGGAAACGGGTCCAAGTGGCTCTTTATGTCTTAAAGGTTGCAGACCCCTGCTATAAATGTTAGTATCCAGTTATATTCTGTGTATCTAAGAAAGAATCCAGGCCTTTTTTAAAGCAATCCACTGAGCTGGCCAGAACCAACTCTTGAGGGAGTCTATTCCACATTTTCACAGCTCTTACTGTGAAGAAACATTTCAGTGTTTTGGAGATTAAATCTCTTTTCCTCCAGACGTAAAGAGTGCCCCCTTGTCCTCTGTGATGACCTCAGGGTGAATAGCTCTACACCGAGTTCACTATATGAACCACTGATGTATTTATACATGTTGATCATATCCCCCCTTAATCTCCTCTTCTCAAGAGAGAATAAATTCAGTTCCTCTAATCTTTCCTCGTAGCTGAGCTCCTCTACGCATATTGAATTGAAGTATAGTTACATTTTTGGATATACAGCACCAGCAACATAACACATAGTGTTCTGTGAATGGGCAGGGAAGATCCTATCATTCATGTGCCTCTCCTCCATTCATACAATTCCCTGCAGTCCCAGAAAATACAAGGAGTTCTGTGAATGGAGAAAGGTGAGGAAGGGAAAGTTAAGCGGCACAAATCCTTCATAGCAAGCAATTAACCCATGCAGCAGCAGAAGTTCACTGCTGTGAACAGAATCTGACATCCCTAAAGGAAGAATTCTTACAGCAAGGATACATTTCATTACAGGTAAATTATGTGGCTGGTGCATACTATTTTAACTAAACTTCAGTTTTAAGAATAAAAATACAGAACATACTATTACTTTACCAATAGAACAACACTGAACATAAAAAACAATGAACAGAAAGTGCCAAATGTTCCCATGACTTATATGTCACAGTCCTGGAGCGAACAAATGCTAGCTTGAGAAGGGGGAGGGAGCATTTGGCATGGAGATATCCCCAACATGCGAACGCTTTGCCAGTGGGAGGCAGCACTGAGTGAGAATGTAGCAGCCAATGTGACTGTATTGACCGTTCGCATTGTATGAGATAGAAGGATGCAAGTCCCTCCAGCTTGTGAGAAAGGTGAATTTAGCTCAATCTCTCTCATGCAAAACTGACACACAGACTGCTGTATTCTTAAGCAGTGACGGCTTTACTAAACAATAGCCCCAGCATTTCAGCTAAATCCCCCCCAGTGACATTAGCTCTCAATCGCCCCATTGCAAGAGTTTATATTGCCATGGCCACTGAAATACCCAGCCCTGTAAAAAAAAAAAAAAAAAAAAAAAAGACTAACTGGAGATTCCTACCTGAGCCAAAACAATGACTGCCCTCTCTAAGGTAGGCAGGTACATAAAAAAAAAACACTCACTTCAAATAAAGGTGTTTTTTCCTGAGTGCACTTTACAATTATAACCTATAGCTAAATGGTTAGCGCTTCCGCCTGGCAGTACTAGGGTCGCTGGTTCGAATCCCAACCACGGCACCGCCTACCTGGAGTTTGCATGTTCTCCCTGTGCCTGCGTGGGTTTCCTCCGGGTACTCTGGTTTTCTCCCACACTCCAAAGACATGCTGGTAGGTGAATTGGATCCTGTCTAAATTGGCCCTAGTATGTGTATGTATGAATGAATGTAAGTTAGGGACCTTAGATTGTACACCCCTTGAGGGTTAGGGACTGATGTGAATGTACAATATATCTGTAAAGCACTGTGTAAATTGACAGCGCTATATAAGTACCTGAAATAAATAATAATGTTAAATGATTTGTTACCGCCACCATCCCCCTTTACCAACATGGGCACGTTATAGCTGGTTAAAAGGACTGTATAGTACTAAGGAGCATCTATTTATAGCCACATAAACCATATCAAATGAATGCACATACTTTTTTAGCTTCAACAAGCTGGTTGAGCTTTTCATAGCATTCCCCCAAAGCAACAAGCATCCGAGAGTCATTCGGTCTGAAAAATGAGAAATAAACATGTTGGTTTCTTTAGAACACAGCTACAGTTGTTTTCTTTTGGAAACAGAAGTGTTAATACCTGAGTTGATGGGCACGTCTGTAATAATAGAGACAATAAAATGGCATCTTTAGGATCTCATAGGTCTGCCCCAATCCATACCAGGCTCGATAATCTCTCTTATTGACTTCAATAGCGTGTCTGCAAAACAGATATACAGAAAGGGCTACAAAATAAGACACTTTATAAACTATAGAGCGCTCTACAACTGGCCTGACACTTTGTACTAAAATAGAATGCAATTCAATAGTTATTAATGTACTGATCAGCTGCAGTAAAGCAAGTAAACATGACAGCCATTTTTTCAGACCCAACTGAAAGCTCAACTGAACCTTCGGTCAAAAGCTCATGTTCCTTTGAGTGACACACCTACTGCAGAGTCATATCTATAGCTCTGAAATTAGCAAAGCTCACACCTCTCGCTAGAGAGCACTCAGGACGGTGGTTTTGGACATCTGCAGAGAGACCACTGCTTCACCACAGAGAGTAAAACAGACCATAGATGAATCGAAAACCAAACAAAATGTGTGTCAACCATTGAATCATTTTTTGCATCTTTAGTGTGCCAGCTGCAACACATGATTTTCGTGCTGCAAGTCAAGTGCCTAATCCAATGTGTTGGTTTTTTGTTTTTTAGAAAAAAAACAAACAAATCATGGCACAATTGTATGAGCTATTTGCATTTTCTGATCAACAGAATGTTTGGTTTTCGACTCATCTATGGCTGGTTTAAGGGAGCCTGCTCTGCAGATTGCTTGTAATTAACAGGCTTTTCTAATCAGGATGTAGTTGCTTCCTAATGAAATCAAGGCCGCAACAACTGAAAACAAATGACAGGTTGCAAAAGATAGCAGAACAAACCCCAAAAACGTCTTCAAATGTATTAATAGTAAAAAGGTCTGGTACAAGCATGTAGGCCCATTACAAAATAATCTAGAGTGGGTGACTGGGGACAAACAGAAGGCAAATTTATTACATACCTTCTTCAGCTCTGTGTATACAAAGGAGCATGGGGGAGCTCTTGTCCATAATGGGCATGGTATTGACACAGCTCCAGATGATCCACATTCGCTCACAATTGATATGATTCAGAAACATTTCAACAGAATAAAGGTGAATAAAGCACCTGGACCAGATGGCATACACCCACGGGTCCTTAAAGAATTGAGCTCTGTCATTTCAAAGCCATAGTTTGTAATTTTTAGGGACTCCTTAATGACTGGCAAAGTACCACTGGATTGGCATAAGGCCAATGTGGTGCCAATATTTAAAAAGGGGTCAAAATCTTTACCAAGTAATTATAGACTTGTTAGTTTAACTTCTATAGTTGGGAAGATACTGGAGAGTTTAATAAAATACCAAATAGATGAGTTCTTGCTGGAAAAAAATATTTTAAGCAACAGACGGCATGGATTCATGAAAGACAGACGTTGTCAAACAAATACGATTTCTTTTTATGAGGAGGTGAGCAAAACCTTGGGGTAGCTGGCTGTGGATGTGGTATACACACGGCTAATGTGTAAGGTAAAGTCTACGGGCTTGGAAAAATCTGTATGTAAATGGGTAGAAAACTGGCTAAAAAGATCATATTCAGAGAGTAGTGGTTAATGATTCATACTCTGAATGGTCTAGGGTTGTCAGTGGTGTACCCCAAGGTTCAGTGTTGGAACCCTTACTTTTTAATATATTTATAAACAATATAGGGTCTGAGATTACAAATCCCATTTCAGTCTTTGCAGATGACACCAAGCTGTGCAGTGGAATAACGTCCTTACAGGATGTCTTCAACTTACAAGCCAACCTCAATGCACTGTTTAATTGGGCAACTATGTGGAAAATGAGGTTTAATGTTGACAAATGTAAGGTGATGCACTTGGGGCTAAGACTATGCATGCATCATACATACTAGGGGGGTACAACTGGGGGAATCAATGGTGGAGAAGGATCTGGGGGTTCTGGTAGATCACAAGCTTAATAATGTCATGCAATGCCAAGCTGTGGTTTCTAAAGCGAGCAAAATCCTCTCTTGTATTAAAAGAGGTATAGACTCCAGAGAGAGAGAGAGATCATTTTACCCCTGTACAAATCATTAGTAAGACCTCATCTGGAATATACAGTTCAATTTTGGGCACCAATTTACAGAAAGAACATTGGGGAACTGGAGAAAGTACAGAGAAGGACAACCAAACTGATACGAGGCATGGAGGAGATCAGCTATGAGGAAAGATTAGAGGAACTGAATTTATTCTCTCTTGAGAAGAGGAGATTAAGGGGGGAAATGATCAACATGTATAAATACATCAGTGATTCATATAGTGAACTCGGTGTAGAGCAATTCACCCTGAGGTCATCACAGAGGACAAGGGGGCACTCTTTACGTCTGGAGGAAAAGAAATGTAATCTTCAAACACGGAAAGGTTTCTTCACAGTGAGAGCTGGGAAAATGTGGAATAGACTCCCTCAAGAGTTGGTTCTGGCCAGCTCAGTGGATTGATTTAAAAAAGGCCTGGATTATTTCTTGGACACACAGAATATAATTGGATACTAACATTTATAGGTAAAGTTGATCCAGGGAATATCAAATTGCCTCTCAGGGGATCAGGAAGAAATTTTTCCTCTGCAGGAGCAAATTGGATCATGCTTTGCTGGTATTTTTTGCCTTCCTCTGGAAGGTGTAGGATTACAACTTTTTTTTTTTGGTTGAACTGGACGGACTTTTGTCTTTTTTCAGCCAGACTAACTATGTAACTAATGAAAATAACCAGTAAGACATTCAATTCTATTTTAATGCACATGCAATGCATTCAAGTGATGTAAATGAAAGAGGCAGCTGCTCTTACACATTGGGTCAGCAAAAAATATACACTATATTGCCAAAAGTATTGGGACGCCTGCCTTTACACGCACATGAACTTTAATGGCATCGCAGTCTTAGCCTGTAGTGTTCAATATTGACTTGACCCACCCTTTGCAGCTTCAGCTCTTTTGGGAAGACTGTCCACAATGTTTAGGAGTGTGTCTATGGGAATGTTTGACCATTCTTCCAAAAGTGCATTTGTGAGGTCAGGCACTGATGTCTGACGAGAAGACCTGGCTCGCAGTCTCCGCTCTTATTTATCCCAAAGGTGTTCTACTGGATTGAGCTCAGGACTCTGTGCAGGCCAGTCAAGTTCCTCCACCCCAAACTCACTCATCCATGTTTTTATGGACCTTGCTTTATGCACTGGTATGCAGTCATGATGGAAAAGGAAGGGGCCATCCCCAAACTGTTCCCACAAAGTTGGGAGCATGAAATTGTCCACAATATCTTAGTATACTGACACCTTAAGAGTTCCTTTCACTGGAACTAAAGACCAAGCCCGACCCGTGAAAAACAACCCCACACCATAATCCCCCCTCCACCAAACTTTACACTTGGCACAATGCAGTCAGGCAAGTACTGTTCTCCTGGCAACCACCAAACCCAGACACGTCCATCAGATTGCCAGACAGAGAAGTGTGATTAGTCACTCCAGAGAACATGTCTCCACTGCTCTAGAGTCCAGTAGCAGAGTGCTTTACACCACAACATCTGACACTTTGCATTGCATTTGGTTATGTAAGGCTTGGATGCAGCTGCTTGGCCATAAAAACCCATTCCATGAGGCTCTCTATGCACTGTTGTTGTGCTAATATGAAGGTCACACAAAGTTTGGAGGTCTTTAGCTATTGACTCTGCAGACAGTTGGTGTCTTCTGCACACTGTGCGCTTCAGCATGCGCTGACCCCGCTCTATCATTTTATGTGGCCTGGACTTATTGTACAGGTGGCAACCTATCACAGTACCACGTTTGAATTCACTGAGCTCACTGAGAGCGACCCATTCTTTCACAAATGTTTGTAGAAGCAGTCTGCATGCCTAGGTGCTTGATTTTATACACCTGTGGCCATAAAGGCGATTGAAACACCCGAATCCAATAATTTTGAGGGGGTGTCCCAAAACTTTTGGCAGTATAGTGTATTTTAGCACAGCCAATGCATGTGTTTAGAACTGAACCATTCTGGACTTGGCTTCAACAATTGCAATAATCATATTTAATCCAATCTAGAAGAGATCCAGCTAAATCAATGATAAATCTGGCAATGAGCGTCCACATCCAAATAACCAAAATAGCATTAGGGCTGTTCAGGAGGTACTCCCTGGGAACCATTAAAGTGACACTAAACTAACATTCTTTTAGAAAATAAAATAAATGCAATGTCTAAATACAAGTAGAATGTACCTTCTAGCTCTCTTTCACTGGTTTTATCTCTAAAACACAATTTTTTCTGCTTTTCTCAGACTTCCTGTTCTAGGGTGGCTATGTTTGTTCTCCATACCCCCCTTGTGTATGAGAATGTAGCCACCCTCTCTTGCTCGCGCACCCAAGACTACACATCTACCTGCAGACAAATTCAGCTCTATGGGAACTGTAGTACACATACAGAGAAGTATGCGACCTGAAATAACAGCTCCTTGCTCTACACTAGTAGCAGTGAGGTGCATCAGTGAAGGATAGGGAATATGCACAGAACAAAAAAGAAAAAAAATAGAGCCAAGGTAGCCTTGATATTTTACAAGGATTGATATAAAAAAAATTGAGTTTAGTGTCATTTTAAAGTGGAACTTGTCCGCATGGCTGAGCTTAAGGGCAGATGGATTCCAGAAAGTAAATGCTACATTATTCATCTGTCCTTACTCAAGATAGCTACGGGCAAAAATGCTAGGGGGGTTGTGTTTCAAAGTGACTTTTCAACAAAATAAATCATGGGGGCATGGTTGGATGGGCGAGTTTGCTTTGAATATTAAAAATGAATTAAAAAGCGTTTTTGGCTTGTGGTCCCCAGGTGCAGTGTAGTTCTGCTTTAGTGAATGCCTGCAACATCAGATGCTTTCTTACTGCCCGCAGAGATATATGTCAATTTGTTAGAAAAATCGCTCTGCAACCTTTCTTTTCCCACTACTCAATGAAAAGAAGGAACCGTGCCAGTAACCTTGGTTCACTGAGTCACACAATTAAATGAAAAATAAAAAAAAGGGCAGATTTCTCCCAGTTTGCATTTCATTGAGACATCAGCCCATCTATTCTTTACCTACTGCTGCTAAAGACAATGAGGGAATCAAAAATGGGAGCAGCCAGAATCTGGAGTAGCTGTGCAGAGCAAGCAATCAGCTTCTGTCTTTCATTTTCAAAGCTTAACTGAACAAGCTGAAGATCGAAGTGGTTTGGTTGCTCCAGATTCTGAATGCTCCAGGTTTAATACATTCTTCCCTTTACGTACTGGTAACACAACTGTACAAACCCTACTGCTTACATAACATAGGTTAGTGTTCCAATCCGCTTATATACCTATATGCTTGTATTGCCGCAGAGGTGTTCTTCATCTCCATGTATTCGTGACCCATCAGCGTCCAAGCACCAAGATATCGAGGATTGAGCTTTAACGCCCTTTGAAAATACAAAGCTGCTTTCTCATGCTGGGAGCGCAAACTATAATAATTGCCTATTAAAAAAGGAGAATTAATTTGGAATAATTGTGCTAGCTAACTGGATGTCAATAATATGTTTGAAGTGCTTGCTCACCAATCACACAGCATGTTTCCACACGATACTTGTCAATATCACACAGGTTGTGTGCCAAGTAGCTCAATTCTGGCTTCAGACCCTTGTAAAGGAAGAATGTTACTGGAGCAGAAACATCTGAGTGTACAATAAAACATAAAACTAGAATATAGAGTGCCTTACTCTGACATACAGGAGGTTTGAAAATGTGTCCATGTTTTCTATTCTATAAGGATCCTGCTTCCGTAACTCATTGAAAATAGAGAGAGCTTTATCAATATCTGTTGAAAAAAAAAAAAAAAATTATGCATTATGAATGAAAACATGATTTTAACCTTTACATATACCAACATCAATGGCCTTACCTCTAATGTTATGGTAGGCAACAGCAATCTGGGAAATAATATAAGTGCTCTTGGAGAAGCCAGCGTCAATAAGGCTTTGATATTTTTGTAGGGCCTCTTCAATAAGCTGCTGCTCGGTGTATATGTGTGCCAAGAAAAACTCCTTAATCCAACAATCTGGCAGAGAAAGAAACTTCAGCTGCAAAAGTAAAAAGAACAAAGCTCAGTAAGGAATACCAGTCCTATTAAAAACAGATGGTCTTCTGATCACTAGCTGTCTAACTATTTTACCAATTTTCTTTGAGGGGAGGAGCGATGGAAAGGTGAATATGTGCCGCTAAAAAAAGGGGGTATTTAAAAGAAGCTGTTTTTACAGCATGGGTAAAAGCAGAGCTTTGTTTGAATATTCACTTATCATGAGAAAGACATGTGGATTGTTATTGCAGACATGTCTTTCTTGACCTGAACATTCTCTGGCTGTCATACGGATGCTTTAACTACAACACTTTTTGTGCCACTGAAACAGAACAAGTATAACAGAATTTTTTCATCTGTTAAATGACTATTTTGACACTGTTACTCAGGAGCAATTAATCCACACTCAATTAAGCAGCTGACTCTGTATCTAGGCTTTAATCTATATAGGAGAATATACACTATATGGTTTAATGTCTATTATTCTTAAAACCATATTGCCCAAACGATATGGACGCCCTTCCATATTATGGAGTTCAGGTATTTCCACTGAAGGTTATACTCTAAAATCTTATAAAAAGCCTTCTCAGAAGAAGAAAAGTTGCTAAAGGCACAAAGGGTTTGGAGTGAGAACCTGCATATTAATACCCATGGTTTTTGAATGGGATGTCCAACAAACCAATATAGGTGTGATGTCAGTTGTCCACAAACTTTTGGCCATATAGTGAATATGAGTATTGTGTAGTCTTCTCTTCAGCCAACAGGTACAGCTTTAGGCACTTTAAGGTTTCCACTATCTTCCTTTGTTGTAGAAAAGGGAAAAGTCTGTTTAAGTAGATCAATGTGTGAAATGTCACACACACCAGTCAGAGAGAAGAATCTCATCCCTTATTGGACGGCTCAGTCTATTGCACAGGTGTCAAACAATGCCTGCGCGCTGAATCTGGCCCTCCAGGCCATTTCATGTGGCCCTTGCACCTCTCATGCAGCTATGGTACCCCCCTCGTCTCTGTTTACACCTTGTCTCAGCAGAGAGGACAGAACTCCTCTGCCAGATCCTGCACTTCTCACTGCAGCACCCCCTGATCTCCGCCTCCCCTGGTCTCAGCATTCAGCAGACTCTGGTAACTGACTCCACTCCTCCTCTGGTCCTCCTCCAGACCCTGCACTGTCTGCTTCCCAGCTCTGCCCCCAAAGGGGGTGCACAGTGATGTTAGGGAGAGTGGGGATTCTTGACACCTGATGTATTGGCGGTGGGGTGCTCTAGTCTTACAGATTCAACTGGTCCTTTGAGAGCAACCATAATGCTGACATGGACCAAGATGAAATGGAGTTCGACACCTCTGGTCTAATGGTTCAATCAGGCAGAATGAGCCCGCAATGGCTGTCTCTTTATATAACCTATAGTAATATATTAAAGCATGCTTTCGGAGAAAGTAAAAATTCTTCCTGGCAGTGGAACTGCCACTGCATGGGTTAAATGCTCGTTTATGTCTGGGGACTGTGAAAAGCACTTTTACTTACCTGATCACCACTCCTCCAACACCTGGTACTCCCCTGCTCTCAGGCGTGGACTGTTCCTTAGCAACCTCTTGTCCAATGAGTGGGGATATGGGCTCTGCAGTGTGTGTGATGACATCAGAGGTCATCCAACTGCCTCTAGCATGCTGGAGGAAGCATGCGGGAGTGGGGGTTAGGGAAGTAAAAGTGATTTCAGACCCCTAGACGAACAAGCATTTAACCCTTGCAGTGCTGTGGAAATCCCACTGCATGGGTAGGATGTTACTTTTTCTTGGAGTTCAGTTTTAAATATTTTATTGTAAAACAAATGTATAACTAAAGTAAAAACAGATAAAATGCATTAGTTTCAAAACTTGAAAAAATAGAAAAGATTGACCTAAAGCCATTACAGTTCTTCTTTAATCACTCAGGCATTCAAAGACAACTGGCTTTCACATGCTCCAGGTAATATTTTGTTACCATTTCTTTGTCTGTAATTAGGTTGCAAAGCTCTAGCCATGTTCCCCAGTGCAAGGGCAAAACATGCGTCGCCTCCACAAACACATCCAAAGCTTCTTTAACCAGGTCCAGTTTCCGCAAAACGACCCCATATCTACAGACAGAAAACAAAAAATGATTTCTGGAGGAAGAATCATGCCTACAGCAAAAGAACACAGGTTCGCTTGCAACTTACAGATAAAGTCCAAATCCATCCAGTTCTCTGGCTTTGTGCTTCTTACTAAGCTCTACACGAAGCTCACGAAGAGCCTCATTCTTCACTTGGCCTTTCTCCAGAGGACCTGGAAACAGATGGTTAAATTCCTGTCAGTTTTTGCTTTGTGTCCCATTGAGAAAAATTCCCTTTACTTTCTTTCCTGGTGACAAAACAAGAAGGGAGTGGAAATCATTCCTTTTTAGAACTTTCTATTGACAGTTGTCAGAACTGATGTCCCCAATGGAAAATTAGTCTAGTCAATTTAGTGGCAAAAGTGAGAGCAAACTGACACAAAATTTATTTTTCTAACCTTTAAAAATAGCCTCCTAATTATATTTGTCTTTACATTTTATTAAAAGGAGACGTGTGGACTTACAAAAAACCAAAAAAAAAAAACAAAAAACACACGCACAAAAAAAAAACAAAACAAAACACATACTCACCTCCTTGCTGCAGCATTGGTCGGATCTGCAGCTGTCCCCTGCTGGCTGTAAGCCTGAGAAGTGAGCAGTCACATGACCGCTGATCACTCAGTCCTTGGTTCGTTCTGAGAAGAAAGCGCAACTTTCTGATCTGCCACTCCAGTGCTCACTGGAGTACCAGGCTGGGGAGGGGGCAGACACAGCTGGCTCAGAATGTCAGTGGTGCACTGAGAGGTTGAGCCAGCTGCCAAACCAGGAGCAACTCTGTGGTGTCAGCTGATAGCAGGCAATAGCCCACTGTCAGCTGATTCTGGGTCACAAGTGAGAACAACTAAGTACACTTCTGTGATCCACAAGGTTGATATGGCCAAAAAGCTTTGGCCATACTTCTCTTTTAAATGCAACCATGTATAAAATATAAATTATAGAAAGCTGTATTGCTTTTTCATACAAATAATGAAATGGAATACAAGTTATGTATACAAGTTCAAAGAACAGACCCTAGACAGCAGAAAACAAGTCACTTCTTCTGTTGACAACACAGAACTTCACTAGTCCTTTCTCCCAAGTTTGCAATACACACTCTCCTCACACCAATCAAATCCATACTACATAAGCAGCAAATCATGATTACAGATAAGTGTGTACTAAATTAAACAAATGTCGGGTTTTTATTGCGTCTGTGTCCCCACTAGTAATATTCACCCTTTCTAGTCCTGGTGATCAATATCACTGGGATTAAGAAAAAAAAAAAAAAAAAAAAAAATCTAAAAGAAAGAAAATCCTAAATTTTGAGCTGTCAACACTGGAGTGACATTCTTCCAACAGGGACCTTATTCCAGTGACAACTGTCTAAAGCTGACCAATTGTTCAGATTTTGTCAGTTCCACATTCGCAGTATGGGTAACCCTGCTGGCTGCCTCTCACTTGATGTCTCCAAGATGCCAGGTAGAAAATGGTTGGCCGAACAGCGGCTACATCCACTCAAATGCAGCCTCTGTTGATGTAGTCTTTCTGCATTGTATAGTGTGGATGGAGTAATCAAATTTAATAGTGCATAGCCAGCCCTAAGAGAACATTTCTCGTATTTTGGAGAGATTTCCACTCTCCTGTTTCATCTCTGGGGCAGGAAGTGAAGAGAAACCACCACAAGAGGACACAGACAGCCAAAAATGAACTGACGGGGGCTTTATCCATTTCCTACTCTATTCAAAACTAGAAATAAAGTTTTAGCTATACATACACTTTATATCCATGGAGAAAAAAGCACTTTATTTATTTCAGGTACTTATATAGCGCCATCAATTTACATTTATATTGTACATTCACATCGGTCCCTAACCCTCAAGGGGTGTACAATCTAAGGTCCCTAATTCACATTCATACATACACATTGACATTTTGCTGCCGTGACAGCCCCGTGTTACCATTCTCCTGGCAACCGCCAAACCCAGACACGTCCATTGAATTGTCAGACAGAGAAGCGCGATTGGTTACTCCAGAGAACATATCTCCACTGCTCTAGAGTCCAGTGGCGGCATGCTTTACACCACTGCATGTGACGTAACCAGAAAGGCTGCCTCTTTCAGCAAGCCACACCCCTTTTCCCCTTATGAGTTCCATGTAGTAGTTTCAGCACTGGTTGGCCATCAATGTATGTGAAGGTCAAATGAGGCTTCTCATGTCTCCAATTATTCTAATAACATTTTTTTGCAATAGCACAATCCTTATAGACCCAGATATACAGATAGTAACTTTCTCATGGAATAGATGCTAAATATAGATAGGAAGGACATAAGGACGAAACATCAGCTTAAGGACATAAAAAAAAACCCTTCATAGTTACCAGGGGTGTGGAAATTTGTGAAATAACTACTTGTCCAGGGACTAAATTGGGGCCCCAGTCTACTTGTCCCTCATGACATCTACTTGTCCAGATAAAAAAAAAAAATAAATTAACCAAAAGCGTATTTAAATTTGAGGCGATTGTAGGAATGTCGGGGGCTTTCAAAAAAAAAAAAAAAAAAAAAAAAAGGAGGCTTTATGGCGACTTAAATGTGTTATATTTTTAACATTGCGCTGTTTATCTTCTCCTCCCCTCTGTGCCTCTCTCCAGCGCCACACCCGGGACTAACAGGAAGGAGAGAGACCTTGCAGTGTAATGAGCAATGATTAGCTGCTCGTCAGGAAAGGGTGGGTCAGGGCTTATCCTTTATCCCTTTCGCTGCCAGAGCCGATTTTGCATTTTTTGCACACGTTTAAAAAATCATTTTTAGGTCTGAAGATTACAAAAAAAACCCCAAACATTAAAAGCAGAGACCCTAGAGAATAAAATAGTGGTAGTTCCAATTTTGTATGTTAATTTTAGGGCACAAAAAAGCAAATTGCCTTATTTTTTTGTAAAATATAAAAGATGAGGTTGCAGCGAGTAAATAGATATCCAACTTGTCAAACCTTAAATTTCTGCGCACTCGTGAAATTGCGACGAACTTCAGTACCCTATATTTTCTATAGGTCAACAATTTTAAAGCCCCTTATAGGTCACCAATTTAGCATTATGGAGGAGGTCTGGTGCTAGAATTATTGCTCTCATTCTGGCGTGCACGGTGATATGTAACATGTTTATCGCAATTGACGGTTTCATGCGTAGGCGCCCCAGCGTGTGCTTTTACATTTGTATGTGGGGATGGGGCCTCAATATTTTTTTCTGGGGGGAAATGGTATGTGCTTGGGTGTAACATTTATTTTTTACAGTAAAAAAAACAAAAAAAACACCACACACTTTTTTTTTTTTCAATTGTAAAAAATAAATGTTACACCCAAGCACATACCATTCCCTCCCAAAAAAGAAATATTGAGGCCCCCACTCTGGATGTCTCCCCTCTGCTCCACTGGGAATTGCATTACAATCTCTCAACGGGGATCCAGAAGTGACATCATAACGTCACTTCCAGGTCAGCACAAGAAGGGGAGCGGACATGTCCACTCTTCTCGCTCCCCTCTAGCTGATGGCAAGTCGGGCCCACAGATGGGCAAGCGAAGCCTGGGAGACCTCATGCTGGGGGTCCGGAGAGGCTGGCACTGTGTGAAGCTATCAGTGGGAGTGCTGCCGCCGATTGCTTCACCCGACAGGTGAGCCCGCTGCTTGCCCACAGCAGGGCTAAAGGTAGAAAGAAACTACATGTCTCTGGCATCGGGGCGATAGGAATCCAGCATCCCTGGTTACCCGAGCCCAATCTCGATCCAGCGATGTGCAGAAAAGCAGCAGCTCTCTCTCTCCCCCATTGGACAGAGACAGCATGTCAATCATGGCCAGTGAGGAGAGAGAAGAGGTGGGGTCGCGCCCTGCTCTGTGTGTCAATAGACAAACAGAGCCAGCTTGGGAGCGAGCACACACAAGTGCCCACATAGCAAGCAGATGGCTATGGGGGCTGCTCTGTGTAAAGCCATTGCACCATGCAGGCAAGTATAACATGTGTTATTTTTAATTTAAAAAAAAATACCCTTACCGGTTTCAATCATCTTAGGATGACACTACAGTATAAAAAATCATGTGGGACTGAGATATGATAGAAGAACCAGAACATAGTCTATTTTTTTGATAATCACTAACATGGCCATTTCACAGCATATATTGAACTATAGTTTCCAGATTTTGAAGACAGTTTACATTAAACAGCAGGAGTTACAAACTTGGGATGCCTGCACTCCCAAGGGGTGTGGGATGAAATTTTAAAGGGGCAACAAAGCATGGCTTGTGTCCCTTAGTGACGAGTCATCACTCAGCTATCTGCTAGTGTGCCTTGAGCAGTCCTAGTAGCTAGTTTTGTAACATAAAAATAGTAGTCATAGTAGTCTCCTTGTTTAATCAAAATGGAAAAAAAAAAAAAACAGAATTACCATACAAATAAGAAAGGTAACGGATTTTCAGAGAATTGCTTTTAAAATTTATAAAGGAAACATCTGATATAATCGTTGAATATGGTTTCACTCTAATTCATAACTGTAAACTGTTAGATTTATTCAAGTTGATGGATATTTTGCTGTTGGAAACCTGAAGATTACAGAAGAATGGATCATGAATCCAAAGTCTGACAATTCGGAACTTATTTTTTTTAAGTTCAATTGGTTTATATTTGCTACATGCAGTATTGTATGTGGTCCAAAAATTAGAAATGAAAACACGGATTAAACATTTCCTGGGATGTGGGGCACAGAAAAGGTTGGGCACCACTGTTCTACAGCAAGATATGTGTAAGGTTAAATTAAAAAAACAAATCCTGCTTTGTTAAATGTCATTCAAATTTCACACACTGCTTTAGGAAAACAACTAAAATGCAGGCCATAAAACACAACAAAATTAAAAAAAAAAACAAAAAAAAAAAACAACACAATGCTTACCCAAACTATCTACAGTTTCATCATCTTTCTTCTTCTCTCCAGACTAGAGGAAAAAATGATGGTAATCTTAATTAGCTGCTGTAGTTAATGCTCTTATTTACCAGATTTAATTGATGTGTTTGCCACAACTGAAAACACAAACAAACATACATTTTAAGTGATCAGCTCCCTCCATAGAGAGAAAGGACTTACCTGTCCTGATAACCTTAACTTCATTTTTTACATCAGTATTTGGCACACTTCTGGGTGTGTAGGATGTCTGATACCCATTTGCTCTTTGTGGTTACTTCCTTCCTCCACAGTGTCCTGAAGTGACAGAGTCTGAGTGCAATGGGGGCACCAGCATCCAACACTCCTGGAAGTGTTCAATGCTGAACATTCTTCAGCAAAGCTTGGATCTTCAAAGCAGAGTTTGGCAGAGTGAATAGCATTATTCAAAATCCCCGCTTGCAGTACTCCCAGCCAGGGGCGGACTGACAACTCATGGGGCCCCCGGGCAATAGGGGATCATGGGGCCCGTGTCCTTGGCCAAACTCAAAAAAGCCTATGAAAAAGGTACCAGGGGCATTTCTTTTGGTGGTATTTGGTTACCTCTGTGGTTTTTACTTTTTGCGCTATAAACAAAAAGCCCGACATTTTTGAAAGAACCGCCCCTCCCCCTGATATTTTTCACTTTTGATTATAAAAAATATCAAATGAACTCAGTCATAAATTTAGGCCAAAATGTATTCTGCTACAGGTCTTTGCTAAAAAAAAAAAAAAAAAAAAAACCCAATACACTATAATAATTTGTTGGTTTGCGTGAAAGTTATAGCGTCTACAAACTATGGTATATATATATTGGAATTACAAAGCTGACTGTCACATTTCTTGAGGTGCTAAAATGCCTGGGCAGTACAACCCCCCTCCCAAATTATCCCTTTTTGAAAGACACCCCAAGGACTTTGCAGAGAGGCATGTTGAGTCCATAGAACATTTTATTTTTCGCCACAAAATTTTCTAAAATTACTTTTTGTTTTTTTACAAAGTTGTCACCTAAATGATATTGCTCATGCATGGCATGGGTATATGTGGAATAACACCACAAAACACATTCTTCTGCTTCTGAGCATGGGGATACCACATGAGAGACTTTTTGGCAGCCTAGCTATATACAGGCCCTTAAAATCCAATGATCACTTCCAGGCTTTCAAAGGGCATATTTTCTCATATCAGTTCCATACTACATATCACAGTTTCTGAGGCTCTAAAATGCCAGGATAGTACAAACCCCCCACCCAAATGACCCCTTTCTGGAAGGTAGACACCCCAAAAAAATTTGATAAGAAGCATGGCGAGTATTTTCAGATATACTTTTTGTCACAGGATTTAAAAAAAAAAAAAAAAAAAGAGGAAAAAAATAAATTTTCGTTTTCTTTCTGTTTTCCAAAAACATGGCAGCAAATGAGATCTGCAAATCACTCAGCATGACTCTTAGCAAGTACCTTGGAGTGTCTACTTTCCAAAAATGAGTCATTTGGAGGGGTTGCTTCTACCAGGATAGATGCTATCCTGGCATTTCAAGGCCAAAATTAGAAGCTTATGCCACACATCACCCACACATGAAGACCAAGCTTTTTCTGACACTTTTTTTTTTTTTTTTTTTTAACATAAAGAAAAAGTTTTTTGGGGGGTTTTTTTTTGCTAGAAAATTTACTTTGAACCCCCAAACATGTATTTTGTTAAAGCAGAGGCCCTAGAGAATAAAATGGTGGGTGTTGAAATTTTTTATGTTACACATTATTTGCGCAGAGATTTTTCAAACAGAAAATCTTTTTGTTAAAAATGCATTTTAGAATTTTAATGCACAAAAACACAATATATTGCCCAATTGTTTGATAAAATAAACGATGATGTTACGCCGAGTAAATGCATGCCAAACATGACATGCTTTAAAATTGCGCATGCCCGTGCAATGGCGAATAAGTACATACATTTTAAATATCGATAGGCGACACTTTAAAAGCCTTTACAGGTCACCAATTTATATTTACACAGGAGCTCTAGTGCTATAAATTACTGCCCTTGATCTGACGTTGGCAATGACACCTCACATGCATGGTGCAATCTCTGTTTACATAACGACACGGGACCAATGCTTGCTTTTGCCTTTGCACACAAGCATGTGGAGGGGCAGGGTGATTTTTTTTTTTAATTTTTACATTATCCCTTTTTTATCACTTCTATTGTTATCACAGGGAATTTAAATATCCCGTGATAGCAATAGGCAGTGAAGGTATTCTCAGTGTGTGTCACTTTATCTGATGATCTCTTAAAGGCAAACTGCTAAAAACAGTTAAAATAGACATGTGAGAGTCCTACATGTCAAGTGATTTGTAATTCTGTCCAGCCACCTCTGCAAAACAGGACATTCAGGAAGATGATACCACTTCAGATGCTAGAATTAAGGAACACAGTGGTGTCACTTTTCAGTCTAGACAGCCTGCTGACTAGACAAGAAAGGAGCATACACGCACACTGACAGCAACTCTACTCCCTGTGCTGCAGCAGAGCCTGATTAGCTCCAGGTTCTGCCATTCGCTCTTCCAGCTTAAATGCGGCTAAGCAGCAAATAACAAGGGTTGAATAAAGATTTAGATACTTATACTAGTAGTATGTTAACCACCTCCCGTGCCGATGTATATAAAACGGCCAGATGGTGGCAGTGCATCGGGTGGATGTTTATAAACGGGACCTTCCCGCCCTCTGTTGTGCGCGGGAGTGCGCAGCACCGCGATCCGGTGCCTGCTGTGTCCTCCGGACACAGTGGAACACCGATCATTGTACAGGACCTCTGTGCGAGGTCGCGAACATGTGATCACTGATTGGCCAATCAGTGATCACATGCAGAGTAGTAAGCAAGATGTCACTTCTGACATCATTGCTTTCTATGTGTGAAATCTGTGAATGATCACAGAGGTCACCATGGTACAAGGATATTCACAACAGCCTTGTACCATGTGACAAGCTGTGACCAATTACAGCTCACACAGTAGTTCTCAATGGCTGCAAGAATGTAGCCAAAGAGAAGGAGAAATGATTGTTTTTTACAGCCTTTATGGGAGTAAAAGCAATCAGTGTAAAAAAAAAAAATCACCCCCCCCCCCCCCCCCCCCCCCCCCCCCATGGTGACACTGTACTGCTAGGGTGACAGTATGTAAAACATAAAAAAAAAAAAAAAAAAAAATAAAATAAAAATGTCAAAAAATGTTTACAAATTATAATTTTTGGTTATAAACTAATTTGGGTTATTTTTTTTTTTTTTTACTAAAAAGATAACGGAATAAATTTTCGTCAAGATTTATGATGAAATATTATTTATTTGCAAAATTTTATAAGAAAAACACTTTTTTCAAAATTTTTGGACTTTTTCATTTGCATAGCAAAAAAATAAAAATCCCAGCGGTGAATAAATACCACCAAAATAAAGCTTTATCTGTCTCAAAAAAAAATGCTAAAAAATTCATATGGGTACAGTGTTGCATGTCTGCGCAATTGTCATTCAAAGTGTGATAGCACTGAAAGCTGAAAATTGTCCTGGACATGAAGGGGGTAAAAGTGTCCGGACTTGAAGTGGTTAAAATACATGCAAAGAGAATGATAAAGAAAACACAACTGCATTACATGTGTTTTGTTTTGTTTGTTTTTTTACATCCATCTAAAGTTTAGCTTTCACATGTGTATACATATTATCACAACTTCCTAATTATGTGGTAAATTTCCCCTCCCCCCCAAAAAAAATCTATTGTTAAAGAACTATAAAATACCCAATATTAGTTCTATGATATTTTTTTTTTTCTAAAGCTGTTAACGTAATCTAGTTCCATAAACTGTTGTGCATCTGAAATCTAAAGCAAAGCTTCTCATCCACTGTCAGTTTGTTAAAATGCAGGTGCCCAGAGGCAGATAAATATATCCACTACCAGAGGGACACAATAATAAGATTTATATTGTCAGATTTGTTTTATGTATTTAAGGATTTGAAGAAATGTAACAAGAGGTCAAGGACTCCAATGTAGACAGAAACATTCAGAATTATAACAAGGGGATCTCACTGTTGGAGTAGCCAAGGCACATGAAGACAGGAACTGACAGTATCCATAGGGTTCACCTATAACTAAATATTTTGGGTGGACTGACCCTTTAACTCTGCAAAACACAGATATAGTATGTTCTTACCAAATACCTTGAGTACATGTACAGGAAGTAAGCTTTCTGGCTCTTGCACCCTCGAAGGAAGTAAGCGGCTCTATCATACTCCTTTAGGTCAAAATAAGACTTGGCCAGTGTATATGCATCCAGATCCTGCGCATCTTCCTGGCAAAGATAAAACATATGTTGTCAATTGGATGGAGGAGCCATTTAAAGGAAAAAAAAAAAAAAAAAAAAGGAGTGCAGTTATAGTAATTAGACTCCTTGTTTTTTTCCGTATATAATATGCAGTAAAGCATATCTAGCAAAAACAAATATAACACGGTTCTGGAAAGGCGACCTGTACACTTTAATTAGTGGAGCTTGAACAAAAAAAAAAAAGTATGTTCTGTTTGACCAAAAAGCTGTGTTCTGTAGAACAAAGGTTATAGAAATACAAAATGGTTTAAAGCTGAACTCCAGACACAAAAACTATAATTTAAATATATTCCTCAATACCTGCAATGAATATAAATCTATCTGTGCACCACATACCTTTGGAAACTGATGCAGGCCATAGACGGGTTGAAAATCGTCCGATTTCTGGGCCGAAAAAAAAAAAATTGGCTGATTTTCGCACAGTTAGTGGGTAATTGGTTGGCCGTTTTTTGGGATTTTGGCACATTTTTTTTAATCGGTAAAGTTGGGAAAAAAAAAAAAAAAAAAATTCGGCAGATTTTCCCGCCAATGATATCGATAAAAAATCTGCGCATGAGCCGTGACCTGATAGAAGAAGAAAAAGAAAAAGAAGAGTTCCAGTCCGCTATTATATTTGACATGAAAAAGTATTGTGGTTGCAACATTGTATCTATTTGTATTTGAATAAAAACATCTGTATCCAAAATGGACACAAAGATACAATGTTGCAATTGCTATACTTTTTCATGTCAAATATAATAGCGGAGCTCTCTGCAGGGACAGAAGTAATTTAAGGCCGGCCGGCCGTAGACAGGACGACGAAAATCGGACGATATTTTTTTTTACCGTTAGTGGTAACGTCAGCCTATTGAACGACCGATTTTTCTTTTTTTTTTTTTCTTTTTAAATGGCCGGTTTTCGACCCATCTATGGCCTGCATACGTAATTACTTTGTAAACGTAGCAGTGACATCACCACTGTGCCGTACATAGCCTGTGCAGACAGCAGAGCTTGGGGGGAAGGGGGGACAGTTCTCCCGCACAAGGAGCAGGGTGGATAAAAATGGATTAAAAAATAAATAAATTGTTATCAAATTTATTTGCATACAATGCTTTTGAGGTACAAATCTAAAGATAGTTTTCTATTTAAGATACTTTAATCATTTAGTTTATTCAGCATGAAATGGAGCTTAGAGGCTGTGTATTCAGCAATATTTACAATGAATTCAATGAATCCAAGCTCTGCAAGCTGAGATCACACGCACTGCATTGAAGCATTCATATAATTTCACAGTAACCATGAGAAAAAACATGAAATAAAAAAGAATGAGTAGTTCTCCAGCTATCTATGATTAACCTAAAATCAGTTCTGATATCGCTGTTTTACTAACCTGACAGCTTATTATTTTAAAAAGTAAACCTTTATTTGGTTTGAAAATAATAAAGATTCTAACTACCAGCAACAATGAATCGGATTCCTTACATTTAAAGAGCACCTGTCTTTTTAGATCCATCCTGGCAGTGCCTGTTAGCGGACAACCATTCACCTGCTGCCACCACGTCCCTCACCTTGTTGTGTCACTGCCGCATCACCAGCCGTTCCATTAAAGTGAATGGCATTGTAAGTGAGTCAACAGGGCCACTGTGGGACAGAGATGACAGTTGCTCTTTAAAAATTATGATTTAAATTGAGCCTTTTCACTAGCGATTTAAATCATGATTTCAATTGTGATGTAAATCAACTTGATTTAAATCAAATCCACCCTGACAAGGAGAGAGAGCAGTTATGATCAGGTAAAGCCTCTTGATCACCCTTCTCAAAAGTAAGTAGGCAAGATAAGTATTACATATTTTCTACTTCCAGTGTACCACATATGACCTTTCTTAGCAAAAATATGAAAGGTAACATTATCAGAAGATGAAGAAGTGTACATACTCAAACACACCTCAGTAAGTGTAGGCATTGGTGGTAGCTCATTTAAAGGAATGGATTCCAATGAGAATGCAAGTTCAGATGCCCTGCAAAAGACAACAAAAAATTTGTGTAACTGATAAAAATGTTTTAACAATTCCCATCTTTTTTTAAACAAATCATAGAAATTCATCATTATTTTAATTCATCTGCAGGTTAATCCGGTCTGATTTTCTTAGATCAGGGGTCTTCAAACTTCTAAACAAAGAGTCAGTTTACGGTCTTTCAGACTTTATGGGGCCAGACTGTGGCCACAGGGAGTGGAAAAGGTCCTGGAGAAAAACAGTACCCCAATCGCTGGTGCCAGCGTGAGGAATTGCGCCCCATCGCTGGTGCCAGCGTGAGGAATTGCGCCCCATCGCTGGTGCCAGCGTGAGGAATTGCGCCCCATCGCTGGTGCCAGCGTGAGGAATTGCGCCCCATCGCTGGTGCCAGCGTGAGGAATTGCGCCCCATCGCTGGTGCCAGCGTGAGGAATTGCGCCCCCCATCGCTGGTGCCAGCGTGAGGAATTGCGCCCCATCGCCGGGTGTTGTCAGCGTGAGGAATTGCGCCCCATCGCTGGTGTCAGCGTGAGGAATTGCGCCCCATCGCGGTGTCAGCGTGAGGAATTGCGCCCCATCGCCTGGCCGGTGTCAGCGTGAGAATTGCGCCCCATCGCCGGTCATGTGTCAGCGTGAGGAATTGCGCCCCATCGCCGGTGTCAGCGTGAGGAATTGCGCCCCATCGCCGGTGTCAGTCAGCGTGAGGAATTGCGCCCCATCGCCGGTGTCAGCGTGAGGAATTGCGCCCCATCGCCGGTGTCAGCGTGAGGAATTGCGCCCCATCGCCGGTGTCAGCGTGAGGAATTGCGCCCCATCGCCGGTGTCAGCGTGAGGAATTGCGCCCCATCGCCTGGTGTCGCGGCGCCCCAGGCCGGTGTCAGCGTGAGGAATTGCGCCCCATCGCTGGTGTCAGCGCGAGGAATTGCGCCCCATCGCTGGTGTCAGCGCGAGGAATTGTTTAGTTTTTTTTTATAGGTGCCTTATCAGTGCTCATCAGTTACCAGCCAGTCCCCCACTGTATTCCTACTGTTTGTATTGTTTTTTTATTCAAGCTCAATAAAGTGGATTGTTTGGAGTGCAGCCATCGGACCTCTTCTGTTCTCTGCTCATCAGTGCTGTTTCATCACTGCAGCTTATCAGTGCACAATAGTGAGGGTTCATCAGTGCCCATCAGTGAGGACTCATCAGTGCTGCTTCATTACCGCAGCTTATCAGTGTACATCAGTGCCGCCCTGTCAATGGATCTTCATTAACAGACATCAGTGCCGCTTTATCAAAGCACAATTGTACCAGCTTCTCAGTGCAGAGCATTAGTGCACTGCACTGATCAATGCCCATTAGTGCAGCCTCATCAAATCACATCATCACCCAGCAGTGCAGCTACATCTGTCCCAGTATATCTAAAAAATTATTTTCCTGTGAGGAGGCATGCCAAATCCTAAGCATGACTGATGAGAGCAGTGGGGAGCTCTCAGAGTCTGATTCTGATTTAGATTACAAGCCCGTTTTAAGCAGTGGGTCTCCTATGGAATCGGAGTAGGAGGAAAGTGTGCCCACCAAACAAAGGTGGCCTGGTGAGGAGCAGGCTACCACAAGTACCGCAGTGGCATCCACCAGAAATGGAGAACATCAAGAAAGGCCAGGTACTAGTGGGGTGTCACCTCAGCCCCAAAAGGTTAGGACCCATGCTACTCTTCCATATGCCCTTCAAACCCCCCTATGGCTTCCCCCTAACTCTGGAGCAGCTAAAAATCCCCCCTTTTACTGCCCAGCCAGGAGTCCAGCTGAACATAGAATTTTGCCCCCATTGATTTTTTTAATTTAATTTTTACTGATGACTTACTAAATTCAATTTTGATCAGTGCAACCTCTATGTCCAACAATAGCCACCAACACAGATTCAAGTTATGCCCATCCCTATGAATGGAAGCAGTTAACAGTGGAGGAGTTTAGAACCTTTTTTGGGTCTCACATTTAACCACTTGCCTACTGGGCACTTCCTGCCCAGGCCAATTTTCTGCTTTCAGCGCTGTCACAATTTGAATGACAATTGTGCGGTTATGCAACACTGTACCCATATGAAATGTTTATCATTTTTTTCACACAAATAGAGCTTTCTTTTGTGGTATTTAATCACTGCTGGGTGTTTTATTTTTTGCACTATAAAAAAAAAAGCAAAAAAATTAGAAACAAAGAAAAACTTTTCTTTTTATTACAAAATTTTGCTAATTTTTCTCCTTCACTGATGTGCATTGATGAGGCTTCACAGATAGGCAGCACTGATGAGGTGGCACGGATAGGCAGCACTGATTGTCAATGATGGGCACTAATGGGTGGCAATGGTGGGCGGCACAGCTGGGCACTGATCATCAGTGCCCTAATGATCGGTGCCGATCCTTCCTCTGACAATCGCCGCTTATGGGCAGTACTTTCCTCACACTGTGACAGTGTGAGGAAAGTGTAGTTGATAAACGGCAACTGCATTTAATGGTGATCTGCTGTGTCACTGGACACAGCTGATCACGTAGTAAAAGGCTGCTGTGATTGGCCTTTTACCACATCACGTGATCAGCTGTGTCCGTAGGACACAGCAATCACGGGGATCACGTTCGTCGTCCCAGGACTGGACAACCATGCTGTAGCTGTCATTCGGATATAGCGTGGTTGGCAAGTGGTTAATATGGGACTCACAAAAAAAAAATTAATTACACTCCTACTGGTCTACCCAGTTCCATGTTGGAACAGGAAGGGGCCATTCCCAAACTGTTCCCACAAAGTTTGGAGCATGAAGTTGTCCAAAATGTCTTCGTATGCTGATGCACTTAAGAGTTCCCTTTACTGGAACTAAGGGGCCAAGACCAACCCCTGAAAGACAACCCCTCACCATAATCCCCCCTCCACCAATCCATCACATGCCAATTTACTCATCACTCATGTCCAGAACAAGATATGTAATGATCTGTTACAGCAAAAACACCCTGCGCCTTCCCCAAAATGACCCAGCATATGATAAATTGGATAAAAATTTGGCCACTTATTATTTTCTCGGAGAAATTCATTCAATTATTAATCCCCTAGAAATCATCCCCCAATGACACCAGATAAAGACCTGGCACTGCCTTTGTTTACATGAATGGAGGTAATAGTGCCTAATGCCTCCTCCTGGAATATGTGATGTAGGTATCCCAGGAGGAGACAGGGGGCGGTATAATAAGAAAAAAGGTGAATCAATAAAAACATTTAGCCATTTAAAACAGTGGAGGGGGGAGTAGACCGCTGCAAAGTGCAGTCCGCATTGCAGGAAACCTTCCATAGAGCAGACACAGATCATCCCGCTCTGCTGTAGCGTCTCAGCCCCTCACCATTTCACGCTGTGTAACAGGCCCCGCTCCCGGCACAGCCAGCTCACGCTCAGCAGCTGCTTCTTAATCTCCCGGAGATCAGAAAAGAGCCCACTTGTCGCCGCCATGTTTCCCAACCAGCGTCACCGATTGTGTTTTGACATCTACCAATCAGGAGCCAGCTTACTGCTTCCGCTCTACCAATGTGCATGTCACGGCCTCAAGGCAGAGCCGCCCTAGGAGAGCTCTGATAGGCTGAGATGCTCCAGAGGGTGGCATCACGTGACTGAGCGCGAATTCTAACTGGGCGATGTAGTTGGCTGAGTTTCCTGTGTGATATCTTCATATCATATCCCATAGTCTGTATACCGCTGTGAGCCAGATGCTTGGCATGATACCTGCTATGTTCCTCAGGAGATGGAAGCCCAATGCCTCCAGAGTGTATTGGCAGGCAGGGATATCGTGTGTGTGGACTTTGCAGGGAGATTACAAATAGCAACATTTTCAGGGGCTTAACCAGGGGCGGACTGACAACTCACGGGGCCCCCAGGCTATGGGATCATGGGGCCCCTGTGTCCTTGCCCACAGTCAAACCACACCCCCAAAAAAGCCTATGAAAGGTACCAAGGTCATCTCATGGGGCCCCTACTGACCCCGGGCCCTCAGGCAGTGCCCTAAATGGCAAGTACCTAAATGGTTAGTCCGCCCCTGGGCTTGACCACTTCAAGTCCGGACACTTTCACCCCCTTCCTGTCCAGGCCAATTTTCAGCTTTTAGTGCTATAACACTTCGAATGACAATTGCGCGGGTCATGCAACACTGTACCCATATGAATTTTTTAGCATTTTTTGAAACAGATAAAGCTTTATTTTGGTGGTATTTATTCACCGCTGGGATTTTTATTTTTTTTGCTATGTAAATGAAAAAGTCCAAAAATTTTGAAAAAAGTTTTCTTATGAAATTTTGCAAATAAATAATATTTCGTTATAAATTGTGGCCAAAATTATTCCGTTATCTTCTTAGTAAAAAAATAAATGAACTAAATTAGTTTATAACCAAAAATTATAATTTAAACTTTTTTTTAAATTTTTATTTTTTTTATATTATGTTTTTTTTTTTTAACGTACTGTCACCCTAGTAGTACAGTGTCACCATTTCTCTTTCTCTCTGGCTGCATTCTTGCAGCCATTGAGAACTACTGTGTGAGCTGTGATTGGATCACAGTGCTGCTCGCTCCCAGAAAGCACGCACAAGCAGGGGGCAGGAAGGCCATTTATAAACATCCACCCGACCCTGCACTGGAACTGTCCGGCCGTTTATATGCAACGGCCGGACGGGAGGTGGTTAAAGTGTATCTAAGTGCGACTTGGCATGTGATTTGCATGCTATGCAACTTGCAAATCGCATGCCAAGCGCACCCTCTTGGCCGCAATCAGAGCGGTCATAATAGTGCGGGTCCGACTTGCTCATAGCCACACCGATTTCTAAAGTAGTACATGCACTACTTTTGGTGCGAATTGCATAGACATCTGTGTCAGATGTCTTGCAAATCGCTCTTGAAATTGGCATCTCACCCGACTTTGAAATCCTGTGACTTCACTGTTGCAGCTTCAGCTAAGCGTTTTGCAGTACATTTGGCAGAAACACACTATATTATTATTATACAGGATTTATATTATTATACAGGATTTATATTATTATTACACAGGATTTATTTTATTATTATTATACAGGATTTATATTATTATTATTATACAGGATTTATTTGATTATTATTATTATACAGGATTTATATTATTATTATTATACAGGATTTTTTGATTATTATTATTATACAGGATTTATTTTCTTATTATACAGGATTTTTATTATTATTACACAGGATTTATTTTCTTATTATACAGGATTTATATTATTATTACACAGGATTTATTTTCTATTATTATACAGGATTTATATATTATTATTACACAGGATTTATTTTTATTATTATTATTATTATTAGAATTTATTATACAGGATTTATATATTATTACACAGGATTTATTTTATTATTATTACAGGATTTATTATTATTATTACAGGATTTATATTATTATTATTATACAGGATTTATATTATTATTATTACACAGGATATTATTATTTATTTCACAGGATTTATTTGATTATTATTATACAGGATTTATATTATTATTATTATATACAGGATTTATATTATTATTATATACAGGATTTACTTTATTATGATACAGGATTTATATTATTATTATTACACAGGATTTATTTGATTATTATTATTATGCAGGATTTATATTATTATTATTACACCAGATTTATATTATTATTATTATTTCACAGGATTTATTTGATTATTATTATACAGGATTTATTATTAATATATTACGCAGGATTTATTTAATTATTATTAACAGGATTTATATTAAATATTACAGGATTTCTTTTTTATTATTATACAGGATTTATATTATTATTAACAGGATTTATTTTATTATTATACAGGATTTATATTATTATTATTACACAGGATTTATTTTATTATTATTATACAGGATTTATTTTATTATTATTATACAGGATTTATATAGCGCCAACAGTTTGCTCAGTGCTTTTACAATATAAAGGGAGACAATGCAGTTCAATGCAAGAGGGTTTGGAGGGCCCTGCTCCTTGGAGCTTACAATCTACATGATTTCCAATGGGACACGTTCACATCTCTGCCTTTTCAGACTGCAATTTTTGGGAAGGGCCAGGGACTTTTTAACTGCAAAACGTTGCATTTTAATTAAATAGCCTTTAACCACTTGCCCTCCAGAGGATTTACCCCCCCCCCCCCCTTCCTGACCAGGCCATTTTTTGCAATATGGCGCTGTGTTACTTTGACAATTGCGCGCGGTCATGCAATGCTGCACCTAAATGAAATGTCCTTTATTTTGCCACAAATACAGCTTTCTTTCAGTGGTATTTGATCACCTGCCTGTTTTTTATTTTTTGCGCTATAAACAAAAAAGGACAGCCAATTTTGAAAAAAAAAAAACAAAACTATATTTTACTTTTTGCTATAAAACATCCAGCAAAAAATTTTTTACAAAATCAACTTTCATCAAAAATTTGGGACAAAATGCATTCTGCTACATCTTTGCTGAAAAAAAAAAATCCCAATATGTGTAAATTAAATGGTTTACGTGAAAGTTATAGCGTTTACAAATGGCGGTATAGATACTGGAATTTGTATTTTACATTTTTTTTTATACTAGTAATGGCGGTGATCAGCAACTTATAGCAGGACTGTGGCAGGCAATCTGACACTGGGGGGGGGGGGGGGACTAACCAACGGCCACTGACATCCCCAGTGACACTAATACAGTGATTAGTGCTAATAAAAAGCACTGACACTGTACTAATGGCACTGGGCAGGAAGGGGTTAACATCTGGGGAAATCAAAGGGTTAACTGTGCTGTTTTACTATGTAAGCACGCTGCTTTGTATTGGTTTGCTATGCAGAGCAATACAAAGCTGCATGCTGGTGCTGACAGGGAAGAGATCCATACTGTGTACATACTGACCTCTCCCCTGTCAGTATTTCTCACAAATCGCCATTTGCTGGCGGGGAATCTCTGGCCAGGACCCAGTGACCGACAGCTGTAGCCTCCAATGGCAGTGCGGGCAGGGCTGCGCTTGCACGCGCCTCCTGCCCAGAAATGCAAAATCGTGTGTGTGTGTATATATATATATATATATATATATATATATAACACATACACACGCATGATTTTGCACAGCCCTGCCGCCCTCTAGCAGTAGTTCTGCTATAGGGTGGTCGGGAAGCGGTTAATGGAGATGCTGCAGAAATGCATGTGGTGCGTTTTTAATCTGCCTAGCAACAAGTTGGCCCCAAAAAAAAACATAAAACCGTCAAACACGCACTACAGAAAGCACTGCAGAAACAGATCAATGTAAACTGCAATAGGTGAGAAGCTAGACTAAACCTTAAGCCTAGGTTCATACCTATACAGTTTGCATTTGACCCGTTTTTGTGGTGCATTTTGTGTGTTTTTTGATGCGTTTTGCTTTTCTATAGGTTTTTTTCTTAGCCAATCTATTGCTGGACAGATTCAAAACACGTAAAAACACACTACATGTGTTTCTGCAGTGTCTCCATCAAAGTCTATTTCACCAAAAACGCATTGTTTTGCATTTAAAAAAGTCCCTGATCCTTTCCAAAAATCGCATTGGTTGAAAACGCAGAGATGTGAACTTCACCCATAAGAAATCTTGTTAAATGGACTGTAGTGTGTTGCTGCAAAACGCACCACAAAACACTTGGGTGTGAACATAGCCTAAGGCCTGGTTCACATCTGTGCGTTTTTTTTAGTGCATTTTGCAGAAACACACTACATTTCATTTAACATGGTTTCCTATGGGACACATTCACATCTATGTGTTTTTCAGCCGCTGCGTTTTTAGAAAGGGTCAGGGACTTATTTAAGCGCAACACACTGCGTTTTTGGTTCAATAGATTTCAATGGACACATGGCAGAAACATGTAGTGCATTTTTATATGCTTTGTTTTTTTTTTTGCCAATAGGAAAGTATTGACTTTGATGCTACTTGAGTGCCAGAGGGGGAAAAGTCACATCAAAGTTGCACTACATGAACAGAACTGTCATATTTTTCTATTAGCAAAAAAAAAAAAGCAAAATACATCAAAAACGCATTCGTCGCAACACGCAGTGGTGTAAACTTAGCCCAAGGCTTCGTTCTTACCACTAGCTGCATTGCAACTCAACTGGTGTGCTGTGTGCAATGAATTGCTAATCTTGGCACATCACATTGTTGTGATGAAAAACTAATGCAGTCACCACATCTAACATTTGATAAATTGTAATATATAACATTTTTGTTTTGGGGTTTAGATACACTATATTGCCTTTACACGCACATGAACTTTAATGGCATCCCAGTCTTAGTCTGTAAGGTTCAATACTGAGTTGGCCCACCCTTTACAGATACAGTTGCAAGAAAAAGTATGTGAACCCCTTGGGATTACGTGGAGTTTTGCATGAATTGGGCATAAAATGTGCTCTGAACGTCATCTAAGTCACAAC